TTTAACGGAGGTAAAAAACCGCCAAGAGATAATTACTTTTTTAAAAATTTGAACCTATTTACGGCGGTAAAGAACCGTCGTTTTTGGTCCTATATTACTGCCGTTTTTGGTCGACTTTTAACAAAGGTAATTTACCTTTTACGACGGTTGTACCTTTTCCGACACGAGTATAAACGGAGGTCCTAAATTACCGTTGTTAAAGGCTTTAACAGGGGTTTTACATCCTTTAACGGCGGTAAAAAACCGCCACTGAAGCTCAATTTTGACGTAGTGGGTATTAGCAAAAATCAATCAAATTGCCTCCCTCACAACCCTAATATTATTGGAATGAATAGCTTTTGATTCAATTAACTCTCTCTCTCTCTCAAAAAAAAAAAAGTTGCAATAAGACCAAAGTTTGGGTATTAGTGATATACTCTGTTTGGTAGGTGAGAAAATGTAAGCAAAGTAAAATAAATCAAAACTTTAAATTTTATTTTTTTCTTTTAAATGCATCAACACACTGAAATTTTCCAAATCAAGCTTAATACATCAATTTTGTTAGCTTCCATAGAACATCAACAAACATTCTAAACTTTCAGATTTCGAGGTAGTTCGCAGTTTTTTTTTTTTTTTAAATATATTTTTGAGAATCTGCTTTTCAACCTAAATGTAAAATTTGTTTGAATGAATTGATAGCAATTCATTATTGAAAAATTAGGAAAGAAGAGATATTTTAAACCTTCATTTTTTAATGCCAACAAAGAACATATATGTATACTATCCTGTGCTTTCTCGGCAACCAAACAGATGATTATAGAAAATCAAATCTCTTGTAACTACGCCATATCTCTACAACTAGATCAAACACACAGTCAAAAAAGCTAAAACGAGATAACACACTGTATCGAGGTGTATGTGTGTGTGTGTGTGTGTGTGTGTGTGAGAGAGAGAGAGAGAGAGAGAGCAAGAGAGAGTACTGTGGGCAAATGGTAAACAAGATTAGATATATATATATATACATACAAGGGCAAATTGGTTTTTTTACGTCTGTCATTAACGACGTTAACTGTGCACATTACTCCATCAACCATAAGGGGTTATGTGATGATATTTGAAAGTCAGGTAATCCGCACATGACCTAAACTATAAGGAGATAAAGTGAAATTTGCCCTTAATTTAATGGTTCAGTAATCATTTTCTGGTTTTGTAATCAATAAACTTTTTATGGTTCTTTTTGTATTTAATTTTTTTTTTATTCTTGTTCAAATCTTTGTAAAAAATAACAATTTTAGCAATACAATATCAGTTTTTGTTTGTTCTCTCTGTCAATTACCTCCAAAGAAGTCTTTCAAACTGTCAAGGCAAAGAACACCAGTCGCATTGCCTGATTTGTTTGTTATTTGTAAAATTTTGTTTTGTTTTGTTTTGTTTGTTAACTTTTCTCTATCGATTTACTTCAAACCAAATTTTTGCTAACAGAAGTTATCCAACACCTTCCCCTCACTTCTAATCTTATCTTGCACGCGAAGATTCAAAGAGAAACCAAATGCAAACAGAAAGACCTAAAATTTTTCTCTGTAGAAGCTCTAATACCATATTAGCAAAATAAGAGAGATAACAATAGTATGAATCCAGCAAATAAGAGAGAAAACAATAGTATGAATCCATCAAAACCTAATTACATAGTTTGTACAAACTAAAAATTAGAGAACAAAATACATAAAATAGACTAGCGGATAACACACGCGATGCATGTGTAATTCAAATAAATAAAAATAAAAGAAAATGATAATAAAATTAATATTATGATGTGTGTTTAATTTAAGTAGTATGAGTCCTCTTACCTTAAACCCATGGTCATGGATTCAAACCTTACTCACCTCTTTATGTAACTTTTTTTTATAAAAAAATAAAAAAAATATTAGTAAGACTTCACTACACCAATTGAGACTTTTACTTAATAATAGTATAGAACATAGATAACATGAGCTTTTATTTGCACCTCAAAAAGTAGGTTAGGCACTCCAATTTTAATGATATTTTTTTTTATTACTATCAAGTTCCTATTTAAAATGACCAAAAAATACTTGACTTTGGAAAAAGTGTAAATACAAGTATTTTGGACACCCTATTCATCATCATATATTCCTTCTTTCTTCTCTTCCTACTTTCATCACTTTGCATTTTCATGCCCAACCCTAGCCCAACCTTATTTGATTTAATTCATCATTCTTGCATTCTCTTTCATATTGAAATCAACAATGGACAATAAAGAATACGAGGGTATTTGGTTTGTGTTTTGAGATAAAATTTCAAAAAAATAAATAAATTTGGAGGAGTATAGAAATTTTTTTGATTTGTTTGCTTGTATGTTTTAAAAATAGTTTTGGAGTTTGAGATGATTTGATATTTTGTTGTAGTTGAATAGATGTGTGTGAGAGAAAAAAACTGATTGAGTAGGAGAGAGGAGAGAGAAAATGATTTTTGAAAAAAATTTCAAAAAATTTGAACCAAACAAAATTTTAAAATTTTTTCTCAAAAATTATATCTTGAGATACAAACCAAACAAGCCCTACGTTTCCAAGCAATTTTCTATAGAGAAAATAAGTTTTTAATTATTGTTCATCGTTTTTCAAAAGTTGGTTTTCTAAATTGATTCAACACTGAATATCCAAACAAACTCCACATGTTTAAAACTAAGTATCCAAACAAACATATTTTGCTCGGCTATGAGTATCCATACGAAACAACTGGAACCAATTTTCTATGATTCAGACTTGAGTATCCAAACGAACTTCACATGTTTAAAATTAAGTATCCGGATTTTGTTTGGCACTGAATATCTATGTAAAACAACTGGAATGAATTTTCTTGTGTTCGGCACTGAGTATCTAAAAATAGGTAGCCGCCAATGGATGTATGAGTAGCGATTTGCTTTGATGGATGGACTGTGTAGAGAAGCAAAGACCCTCTTTGTCTCGAAATCCCTCTGCGTCTCGGATGAACTCAGAATCCCTCTTTGTCATTTGAAATTCTAGAGACCCCAAATGTGAGTTTTGTTCCTCTGTTTATTGGTAATGGAGTGTACAAAGTAGATTTGTATAAAGTTTTAATATTTTTAAGGTTAGGATAGGTATTATCTAAAATGTCAAAAAAAATAAATAAAATTTCAAATTTATTATTGAGGTGCTCAAAGTAATGGGGTGTCCAACCTACTTTTTCGAGTGTAAATAGAAACTCCCATAGATAACAAAACTCTAACCCACTCTCATGACAAAAGACCCTAAAAGAAAATATAAAATAACCAAAATACATTTCACACTATCAAGACGTTCATTATGTAGAACAAGAAGCACTGAAAAAATCACAGCCTACACCTTGATTTTAAAAACACAGGCTCTCCCATTCTATAAAATTTGTAATGCAATTGCACAAAAATGCATGGATCGTCCTCATCTCCACAGTTATTAACTATCCATCGTAGGAAACGCTAAAACAACAATTGAATTGCCAGATTATCTGCGAAGGAAGTGATAATTTATCTAAATAATTTCCCATTCAGAATCACAAAAATCATGATCCACGGTCTCCATTTTCGTTGTAAGAGAACCTTCGTGTTGATTTAGTCCTGCATCATTGAAGTGGGTAAAAATTAATCAAGTCTTGGTGCTAGGTCCATTGCGATGCTCACTCCAAGTGGAGCTAGGTCGGACCTCAGCCCTATGGCCAACACTTGCTCCGAAGCAAGAACCCTTCTTCATAGTGCGGAAATCACCCCCGCACAATCATGATCTTCAGTCCTGGGTGCTTGCTGCTCACACTCCTGCTCTTTCGCTGACTTCATTTTTGCAGTAAAAGCCTCACAATTTTTCTTCTGAAAGTAAAAGAAATCATACGGCAGTTGAAGTCCATGCAGCAGAAAGGAAGTTCTAACAAAATAATCTAACCAGCATTGTTGTCAGATTGCGAATCAAATCGTAAATTTTAATATTAATTTTATCTAACATAAAACATCATTTTATATATGTATATATATAAACACATACAGTGATTCAAATAAAATAAATATCAACGTGACTAAATTTTATATATGTATATAAAAATATGTATATCAATATAATAATTATTATTAGGGTAAATTACATTTACCTCCCCTGAGGTTTCTGACAAATACAGCTGTCAAGTTGGTTGTCTCTCAGTTGTACTGTGACTTTGCTGCTCTATGGTACAGTTTAAAATATGATAATTAATTGGGTAAATTATATTTACCTCCCATGAGGTTTCTGACAAATACAGGGACCTCCCCTGTGGTTTGAATAATTACAGTAACCTCCCCTACTTTACCTGATAATATCAAGATTCCCCCTGCTGTCAAAAATCAGTAAACGGTGTTACTTTTTTCTTAGAAAATTACTTTATTGCCCTTCCCTTTAAAAATATTAAAAAATGTTTTTGGATTGGAGGATAAGTTTAGAGTGTTTGGAACAGTATTTTTAGATTTATTTTTTAAAAATATTAAAAAATGTTTTAAAAAAAATTATTTTTTATTTTAAATATATAATTTTTATTTAAATATTTTATTTTATTTTGTAAATATTTTAATATTTTAAACTCAAAACACAACTCCACACTCAAATCATAACACGACCGCTACTTCTTGATTACATTCTGCAGCGGTCCAAATCCGTTAAAATTCACCTACTACACACCTACCACTACCACCTACTACACACTCACCTACTCTCCACCTACTCCTCACCTACTCCTCACCTACTCACACTCACCCTCTTCTATATATAGGAATCAGGAATCATTGTAATATATATCAATAAAACATACATCAATCAATAATACAATTCTCTCTATTTCTCTATACATCAAATTTAACATCAACAACACAATTCGAATCATTTTGGTTGAAACTCGTATCGAATCATATGAATCAAATCGTGAATCACAGGATCGGACCTCAACCTATTCCGCTGTCATCTCTATCAATACATAAATATGCATACCTACATAGATACAAACTTGTAATCGAATCAATCGATCGATCTCTCTCAAGAAAAATGGATGCGTTCTCGTCGTTCTTCGAATCTCAGTCGTCGTCTCGTAACAGTTGGAGTTACGATTCTCTCAAGAACCTCCGTCACCATATGTTTGTGCTGCAACTTTCAAAGCAGCCTCTCTTTGCTCTTGAGGCTGTGATCATTCAAGAAGCAGTGCCACTGCGTGCCAGCAAAGGTCCATCCTCTGATGGTCTTCAACAGAAGTACACACAAAGTGGTGGCAGACCGTTTGTTCTTTCAACTTTGATTGTGGGCTTTGACCCTCACACTGGTGTGCCATCGCTATATCAGACAGATCCATCAGGTACTTTTTCTGCATGGAAAGCTAATGCAACTGGGAGAAACTCTAATTCAATGCGAGATTTTTTGGAGAAAAATTATAAAGAAACTTCTGGGCAAGAAATTGTCAAACTTGCAATTCGCGCCTTGCTCGAAGTTGGGGGAAAGACCATTGAAGTTGCTGTGATGACGAAGGAGCATGGCTTGCGGCAACTTGAAGAAGAGGAAATCGACGCCATCGTTGCTGAGATCGAAGCTGAGAAAGATGCTGCCGAGGCTACAAATAATGCAAAGAAGAAGGATTCAGCCGTGGAAGGTAGTAGCAGTGGTGGTGTCACAGCAAACCTCAGGAAACTACTGAATGAAACTTTTCAAGGAAAGATGCTGCTTTTCGAAGCTGAGAAAGATGCTGTTGAGGCTACAAATAATGCAAAGAAGAAGGATTCAGCCGTGGAAGGTAGTAGCAGTGGTGGTGTCACAGCAAACCAGAGTGAGAGAAAGCCATCCAATTTGTCAAGGAGGGATGGCAATCAAAGGCCATCTAAGATGGATTTTGAAGTTCCTCCGACAGAGCATGTTCCAAGGGTACTGCCAAAAGATGAGGACCCAAGCTTGGTTAATAGAACTAAAAGAATGCTCGGAAAGCTTTTGGGGACATTGGAGAGAGAAATATATTATATAACCTTTTTTTTTATTCTAAATTCTCCACTCAAAACCATCATCATTTTTTTTTTTATTCTAAAATATGCTCCACTCACAACCATCATCACATTTTCACACTTTTTCAAACCCACTTTAATCATATCCCTCATTTCCCTTAATTTATTCCACCCACGATTTCACCCTTTTTTTTTAAATTTTAATATATATATATATATATATATATTTTTATTATAATCTATTTCCCCTATCCCTACCATTATTAGTGAGAGCATCACCCGTTTTTTCCGTTATCTTATTATTATTTTTTTATATTCCACCAAAAAATAAATAAATAAATAAAAAAAATAAAAAAAAATACACTGCTGTTTTTCTTATCACCCATCCACAAATATTTTTCTCTATTTTCTTTATCCATTATTTTCTTTTATTTTATTTTTCTTATTGTTTTATTTTATTTTATTTTTATTATTACACAAAACAACAACACATAATAACACCAACAACATTCCACCACCTTGTCATTTTATTCATATCAGGGGATCCACCCCGATCACAATTTTACACCAAAAAAAAAAAAAAAAAAAAAAAAAAAAACCAACAACAACAACAAATCCACCACATCCACAGGCAGGATTTTCTTCTCTACTCTGCAGCCGGTCTTTTCTTCTTGCCTCTGTCCTGGGCGGCCCTTGACGGTGCTGCCTCCGTGTTTCCTAATCCACTGAGCACGTTCACTCCTCCCGGCTCCTCCACTACAGCATATGGTGGACCTCCAAATCGGAACATCACGGTGGCCTTCCGCTTCAGCTCATTGTTTTCTGCCTTTAGCACACTTATCTCTGCTCGCGCATCCTTATACATGCGTTGGAGCAGAGCCAGCTGGGAGTTTAACTGTTGCACCTCATTTGTCCTGCTCTGCAGCAGGTACGACAAGTTTGTGACCGCAGTCATGATTTCCACACATGACTTCAGAGTATACTGATTGGCCTCAATATCAGTTTGCACCGCCATTTTTTGCTCCACCGACCGCATCGGAAAGTTCAACGGAGCAAAACCAGAGGCGCTTGGTTGAGGTTCACTGGCCACCGCACCAGTTATCTCTCTTGTTGACTCGTTGAGGTCGGGAAAGAGAGTGAGCAGACCACGGGACAAAGAGGCCATATTCTGGGTAGCTGAACGGGAAGACAAGGCCATGTTATGGGTTGCTGAGTGTTTCAGAGAAGGGTTGGTTACAGAATGGCAACAGACAACCTTCACACCTTAACTAACTTAAGCAGCAATCAACGCAAGAGCGCGCCTGCTCCTAGGCTCGAGATTTCTTTTAAATTTTTATTTCCAACAAACAAGCAGAAGTCCCAAACTAACATAGTAACTGCTATTTACTCACCCCCTTTGGAGCAACTCACCGTACCAAGCGCGGCAGCCTCACCCCCTCGGGAACGGAATCCTACCCTTTTGATATGTCAGCCAAACCGCCCAGATGGGACGAGACTAGTCCGGTCAACAGATACTATATGATACCTCGTATTCAGTACTCTCAGTACTCCCAGACCAGGGCTAGTAACTTTGGATCCCCATAAGTACGACAATCTCTCCTTCACTCGGCAGGGCACGGGCATCCGCCTTAATAAAGTACGTTTCCGTTTTCAAGAAGATTGATTGAAGCAGGCAACGAAGGGGACGAAGTAGCAGCAGCTTTATACGATATTGGGCAGATTGCCAAGACCCCTTTTATAACGTAGTTGGGGATTCGGCCTGGTTCCATAGAGGGAAGAATGGCAGGGGCCCTGTCGTACGAAGGGGACTGAGAGTGCACTTTGCGAAGCTTCTTTTAGATAAAAAAGAAGCGGGATTGCGGAGCTGTGAAGCGGCAAAGCCGACTATAGATACACCCCACTTGCGCTTTTAGCTTAGGTTTCTTAGTTAGGAACTTGCCTTTTAGTTAGGCGCCTGGCCGAAGGTTGAAAGAATGATTCGGGGTCAGAGGAAGGGGGCAGCATTCAACCTTTCCTCTATCTATGATTGGGAATTCCTCCAGTGAGTAGAAGTCCCCGGAAAGGTAGATGGGATAAAGGATAAAGGTCTCACTCTGCCAAACCAAAGATTCGGGATTACCCTTTCATCGATTACCTATCCTATTTAGTTCCAGACGCAGCCTAAAAGGTAAGAAATGGATGGAAGAGAATCCGGATCAACCAAGTATCGTACGCCCAACCCAAAGAAGATAAATTTGTGATAGCTGAACTCACTGAACCCCTGAAGGAGATCTGTTTTAAAAAAATCGCTAAATGGGAACCATTCGGATATTTGGTTTAGCTGGCCGATCTTATCAACCCCGTCATAGGTGAGCCTCTATAAGGAGGTTCGGTTCCTTAGGTCTTTGTACAAGCCAATAGATGGAGTGCAGGTGGTCACGCTTCACTTACCTCGAAGAGCTTTTCAGCAAGACCTTTTCACCATATAGATTGAGGCTGAGGCCTCTTGTCAAAAGCCTAGTCTTGTTACACGCCTGGCGAGCGTTGCTCTTTATGGTCGGGCGAGCTAGCCTATTTATATTATATAGACTTCCATTCCGAACCTAACTTCGCTGGATTCTGAACTCATCCAGCTTGTAGATCCCCTTCGAACAACCCACTTTGACAACTTGAAGAATACAGCGATCCCTTAGAAGCGATTGAGCGTACAGATCAATTCGTCACTAGAGTCACCTCCAACGGTAATTTATCCCAACCATAAACTGAAGCCCTTCATTTTTATTGAAGGACAAAGCAGGTCCACTACCGCATCAGGAGCAATAGCACGGCATGAGAGAGACTTCCTGCAGCCCAAGTAAAAAAAAATATAAAAATTACCCGCTCAATCAGATAGGACGACCTACTCCTTAGTTGAACCAGACTTTGCCACTCACCTTCATCCGAATAAGGAAGAGAGAGGTACAATATAAGGAAAAAACTGGTACAAGGAGTCCAGCTGAACCACCCAGATCAGCTTCTTTCATCAAGCAACACAGCCTAGCCTAACCCGAGCCCGAGTTCGTATTGGTCAATTTCGGGTCAGCAGGCAAAGGGAGCACCCACGTTCTACTTGCATATAGAAGTCGATCGGCCATTCATATCACTATGGTTAGCTCCGACTCCTTCTTCACTTTACCCCTTATACGAGGCTTTATTTTAAAATTTAAAGCCGCTTGGCAAAGAAAAGAACTTAGAGCGGTTTCGAAGCGAGATTGTCAGGGCGGTACTCTGACTCCGCTTCCGAATTAACTAAACAAAAAAAAGCTTCTACCAAGATATTTCACGCAGCAGAAGCAACCTTCACACCTTAACTAACTTAAGCAGCAATCAACGCAAGAGCGCGCCTGCTCCTAGGCTCGAGATTTCTTTTAAATTTTTATTTCCAACAAACAAGCAGAAGTCCCAAACTAACATAGTAACTGCTATTTACTCACCCCCTTTGGAGCTCAATTCCTTAATTGAATGTACTATTCAACCAAGTTCCCGAGGCTTATCCGGAGGAGAAAACGTCATACCTTTCGTTTCACTTTCTACTTTAATTAATAGGTTTGTGGTACGGTACTCTTCCCATGTTAAACTGCCCTGCCTTTCTAAAGGCCTGGTACATGTACCTTTTTTTAAAAAAACCTATTCTCGACCCTCCTTCCT